TCATCTAGATGATAACATAATTATGATAAAAACAAAAGGGGGGAAATATGGGAAGCCAATACTAAATATTTGTAATAGAACTGAATGCTATTTAAAAAAAAATCACGTCTTGCTATATACCTAGGAAGCAGAGGTAACTTGAATAAGACAATGTTTATGCTTAAAAAAACTCTAGTTTGCCTTTAAAATATTATTGTTAAAGCAATAAAAAAATTAATAAAATAAAAAAAAGTTAAGTGTAAAACAATGAATGAATGGAAACCCTACGTCTCTGTAAACTTTCATTAAAATTAATTAAAAAAGTTAAATGAATGTAAACCAGTGTGTATATTTATATATACTCACGCTACAATAGGAGTCAATAAAAGACAGTTTCATTGATACTCTAAAGAGGTTTAATTCAAAGAAGACCTATCAATTAATTACTCACCAGAAAAGGTCGTCTGGGAGGAAAGGTCGCTTCAGGTTCGTCCATGATCTCAGAGATGCTCTGCTAACCCTGCTCTGGGGACCCGGAGAACTCCTCTGAGCAATATGGAGCTCTGGAGAGAATTGTGTTGCCAACTCAAAAGTGGCACCTCTCTGAACTTCGAACTTCACCAGCGCCTCTCCAGGAGAAAGCTGGGCCAGTATCTTCCCTGTGCAATTTATAGTCTTCTCAAACAACTGCTCGAGGGTGTGGAGCTGTTTAGGATCTTGCTGTTGAATAGATTATCCTTTTCTAATCATTATGGGTGTAACTCTTATCACATGACTGGATTGTTGTTTTGTACCCTCCAGACTGTGACTCAATGTGGTTAGATGTCTTCAAGTGGATATGACTGAAAGCTACTTTATGAACGTCAGATTCGGAACCTTCTTCCGTGCCATCCTCATCGTCTTGCCTCACGACAGCCCTTTGTTGTGATGTCAGTCCATCTCATTTGAGGGCCTTTCCCTCCTTTGCCACCTCTCCACTTTGCTAATCATAATGTCCTTCTCCAAGGACCGGCCCCTCCAACAACACACCGCACGTATGTGAGATGAAATGTCAGCATCCTTTCCACTCAGGAGCATCCTGATTGCACTTTCATCATTAGAACTTAGTTCTCTTCACCAGCACCGGAACTCAAAAGCATCCAATCTTCTTCTGTCATTGTTATTTCCAACTCTCAGATGCACAACAACTAGTTGAAAAGACCAT